CTCATCCACTTGTAGTTTGAAATACTATCTTATATTATTTATTTTGGCTTGTAGCTCGATGTTGTTTAATCAATAATTATGGTTGCATCGAACTGGGACGGCGTTTAGCTTAAAGAATCAATTCTTTTAAAGAAATAAATGTATTCTTCTTGGAAGCAGCTATAGCAACATTTATAAACGTTATGAGGCTGCTAGAAAACTACAAAATTCTCGAAATTAAAGTTCTCATCACGAAAACTCTAAGATGAGGAATTAATTGGTCACTTTTTCTCGTATTTGGTGGCAAGAAATTAAAGTTTTCTCAAAAAGATATTATTGACTTAATGTGTTCTCACAGCAAGTTTTTTTTTTTTTTTTTCACTCAATCGGAAAAAGATCTAACTTGAATTGCAGGAGAGAACCAAGTGTTCAGAAGGTGCGATTAAGATTGCTCAACAATACAGCTTAATCCATGTGAAGGAATCGAGTGGAAATCGACACACATTGCCTCTTTACGGAGCATTCTTCCGACTAACCAAATGTCATACGAAGCTTACGTTCCCCAAACTCACTGATGGATGAACGTATCTCGGTTTGCGACGTTGCAGATTTTCCGCCATGCTTTCTTTTTAAATTGGAAAACCAGGTAATGAGCATGTTTTCTTGCGAGTACATTAGTGATTATTCGTTTCCGTCCGAAGAATATTTTGCTTACTTTCCAAGCAGTAAATTCAGCTCATTCACCGAGAAATTAATGAAACCGCGTTGGAAGTTTTGCAACACCGCAAGCCAGATACGCGGTTTCCAAAATTAGTCATCAACGTGGTTCTCGATACGTGCAGAGAGTTCGGCGCGCGCCTGTTAAAATCGTCGTTCCCCGGACGAAAGAACGTAACTCCATTTCAACGTTGCCAAATTTCCGCTCGCAAATTTTATTCATCCCAGGAAACTGCTGGGCGTTTCTGACTAGAAATCACGCTGACTTCCCTTCCAACTACACTAACAAATCAGCAAAACGCCGAATAGAAATTTGACTGTTATAGCCCCATGAAAAATTGGATTGTCCAAGTCGACTTTGCCACCTTATAAATGAGTTGCCCTTCATCTAAGAAATGGCTAGTTTGAAGGGAAACTGCTTGAAAATGAATAAAATCCAAAGGATCTGTGTATGAAGCCGCGGATTTGCGTGCATTTGGAATTCAAAGGTAAAGGCTTGGTTCCTTCGAGCATAAAAACGTCTACCATGGAGGGAATGAGTTTACTCACAATGATAGAGAAGCGAATTCCGGGTCACAGGGAAAACGTCACTGCACTGATGGATCCACACTAGAGTTCCATGCCCGAAAAGCGGACTCGACGGAAAAGCACAAAATCCGAGGGGGTAACCTTTGGAACGGACGGCGACAAAGGCAAAGGGGGCGCTACCCCTACTTCCAACAAGTGACTCTAGCGCGACACTGACGCGATTTCGGGGCGGCAGGGCAGGGTAGGGACCGCGGAGCGCGAAAGCACCGGCTGCGAGCGGGAGCGGGCAAAGATATGAATCGGCAGGTACACTGAAAGCTCCGAAGGGAAGTCGAACGCGACGCCAAGGCGAAGCGTCGCGACGGTCGATAGAGCGACGCACGCGCAGAAAGCGCGACGAGCGGCGGCGCGCGGAGCCGCGGAGCGGACGCCAGGCTCAGAAATAAACCACGTGTGCCTGACGGGAAGGACGGAGCTCCGAGGGACGCCCCGTCCCCCCTCCCGCCCTCCATACCCTCGGGTCCCGACCCTCCGAATCAGCAATATTCTAGCAACATTTCAAAGATATTCTCAAAGTTGTCAGCGTCACAGCGCTGTGAGACATATCCATGGTCCAGGGGAGAAACCACTCATATCCATGGTCCGGGGGAGAAACCACTCATCTTCATTGCAACGTTTCAAAATTTCCGCTCATTCTTCTTAAAGAGAAACAAACCAACTTTATTGCTCAAGATTTGTAAGATATTCTCAAAATTGTCAGCGTGACAGTGCTGTGAGACATATTCATGGTCCGGGGGAGAAACCACTCATCTCCATTGCAACGTTTCAACATTTCCGCTCATTTTTTTAAAAAAAGAAACAAACCAAATGTATTCCTCAAGATTTGTAAGATATTTTCAAAGTTGTCAGCATGGCGAAATTGAGTGACAAGGCTGTAAGACATAATGAAGGCCAAAGTGAGAAATCACTCATCTCTATCCCAACGTTTCAAAATTTCCGCTTATTTCTTTAAAGAGAAACAAACCAACTTTATTGCTCAGGATTTGTAAGAGATTTTCAATGTTGTCAGCGCCACAGCGCTGTGAGACATATCCATGGTCCAGGGGAGAAACCACTCATCTCCATTGCAACGTTTCAAAATGTCCGCTCATTTTTTAAAAAGGAAACAAACCAACTTTATTGCTCAAGATTTGTAAGATATTCCCAAAATGGTCAGCATGGCAAACTTAAGTGACAAGGTTGTAAGACATAACGAATAACAATGGTCAAAATGAAAAACCACTCATCTCCGTTGCGATGTTTCAAATTTTCGCTCCTGATTTCTTTTTCCCCAAAAGAAACAAGCCAAATTTATTACTCTTTAGAGCAAGATTTTTAAGTTATTCCCAAAACAGTCAGTACGGTAAACTTGCGAGACAAAGCTGTAAGACTGTAAGTATCGATGGCCAAAGTGAGAAATCACTCATCTCCATTGCAACGTTCCAAAAAATTTCCGGTCCTGATTTCTTCTCCTGAGGAGAATCAAGCCAAATTTATTGCTCTTTTTGGCCGAAAAAGATATTCCCAAAATAGTCAGCATGGCAAACTTGAGTGACACAGCTGTATGACATATCGATGGTCAAAAGGAGAAACTATTTATCTCCATTGCAATGTATCAAAATTTCCACATCTGCTTTTTTTCCCCCAGACAAGCAAGTCAAATTTATTGCTCTTTAAAGCAAGATTTTTAAGTAATCCCAAAATAGTCAGCTTGGTAAGACTGTACTAAGACTGTGAGTATCAATGGCCCAAGTGAGAAATCATTTATCTTCATTGTGACGTTTCAAAATTTCCGGTCTTAATTTCTTTTGCCCAAGAAAAAATATTTTTACCACGCAAAATTACACTAAGACTTTAAAACAACGTAACAGTTGTCGACGATATTTGAGACACGGTTTCAACAATTTTCTAAGAATAATTGTAGAAAATTATATCCAATTTAGAGTGACAACAATCCCACAATAGGTACTTTTAAATTATTTTGGAAATATATTCAGTTTTGTTGGGTGTCCAGCATTGGTTTTGGTAGGTCCAGCAACCCGCTAGCATTGGCTGTTAAACAGAGTTTGCACTCTTCAATGAGGGTAAAATGATGAACAAATGGTTACTATGCAGTTAATTAACGGTCACATGAAAGTGACACAACTGTGTCAGTGAAATAACTATTCCTGGACAGTTACCTACTTCATTTCATTTTTCCCACTCCGTGGGAGATTCTATTACAGCTCAGATGGCTTGAAAACGTTTCAACAAAAATTTTGGTTTTCACCTGTACGTTTTAAAAAGAAATAAAAATTTATTGACACCTTTCAAAAATTGCCTAGCAAAAATATACTTCAAAAGTACCAAAATTGTCCCTGCTGGCTGAGGGTGCGCTGTTACACAGATTTTGAAAAAAATTTATTTCAAAAATACTACGACAAAACATTCCAAATTATCTTTGCCAACTACAGATATACATGAAATGTCATATAGATTGTTTAAATATTTTGGACAAATTTTCTTCAAAGGACTTCCAAGTTTTCACTGCCATCTAGGAATACTACGTCCTTCATATTCTAAGTATTACCAGATACTGAATCTGAGCTCATATACTCTAAAACGCAAGGACCTCCTTAAAGCTTTTGAAAATATCCAAACTAAATTAAGAATTACCCATGAGAAAATTTTAACGTCCCTCTCTTGTTTTCTTTTTTGAATATTACACAAAAGAGCCTCACTAATAGAGGCCTTTCCCCTTGTATTAGGGCGGTTGATTCGGCGATTCGATTGAGTAAAAACTTATGATGACAAAATACCAATGAAAAGGAAAAAGATCCATGAAAAAATAATTCCCAGCTTTGTACCTAGATTGGAACTTGAGCGTGATTCTATATTTCATCTGTATGGACGAAGGTTATGTAACTAAATCTACTTACGGCTTCCCTCTGTTTTTCCTCTATAATCCCATCTCACGTTCATTTATTTGTCAAAATTATCCTTTTGTTTTGTTTCTGCGACAAATGTCAACTGAATCAAGTGATTTTTGAACGTTTTGTGATGGCCTGAGCGCAGACCATTTTTTGGTGACAGATATTACAAGAAATGGAATTTTCCGATTTTTTAACAGTTATCCATGAATGTAAAATTTTATAGAGTCCTTGGTTCGACATTTTCTGTGGTGGAATCTTAGGTTGCTTCATATGATACTATTTTTCACCTTTTATTATTTGAAACACCTCAATTCTTAAAGAAAAAATAAATACTTTGTTTTCGAAATTCCCTTTTCCCATGCAATGACCTGGCTACAGCACACTGCAGAATTCATAGGGATACTCCTTATCCCCTCATCATTACAGACCTAACAATTTCTTTAACATTTACAAAAATTACAGGAAGTGTTGTCCACAAAGATCATGGTTTTCTTGACAATGGCACTGGATACATTTCTTTAGCATTAGTGCCATGATTATCATGGTTCTTTCATGCCCTAAAAAGATACCTGAAAGAAGTTTGAGGGAGTCTGAGATATAAAACCAGAGGAAAACTTGTACATACAGTGTCCTGCACCAACCTTTGCTTATTGCTTCATTGAAGCAAAAAGAATAAAAATATAAGAAAATACGAGATTGATAGTTCAGTTTTCAATGACAGCTTGTTTTCGATAGCCAACAGTGCGGTTTAACAAGACTTGATACACGGTGAAGAAAGTAACAAGGCAAAGGGATTTTAAGATACATAATCAGTTTCAAGCTTACCTTCAGCATGGTGAGTATTTTCTGACTGAGATCATAATCAAAATTTGCGTATTTGGATTCTGACATGTCATAGATAAATACAAGGCCATACCGTTGCGTATCTGGATCTGTTAAAGCAGCATCAAGTTGATAGACAATACCCTAGAGCAGAATTGAGTGTGTTAATCAAAAAGTTTGAAGGATACAAAATACAAAGTTGACAAAAACCTAAAATAAACAGAGTGAAGAAGATAGAGTAGAGTCTGTAACTACTCATTCCTGGAAATTATCATAAATAAGTTGGCGTATACGTAGTATCAAACAGCGGATGCTTATGCATGTACATTTTCACTGCCCATGCTAGTAGAAAAAACTTTGATACCTTGTCAAGATAGGAAAAAGTAGACTTATTCTTGATCAGCTTTTTTTCTATGAGCCTACACAACATGATAAACTTTGAAGACAGGTATTGAAGAGATTTCTCAGCCCAAACTTGAAATTAGTTGGAAGAGACCTACAATGTTTTTTTAGATTTTCAATTTTCCGTAATTTCATATTAATCTGACAACTCTGGATTATAATTGGGCTTTCAACATTTAAATGCTATGGAACGAGATGTCCCGAGGCTGCATAATGATATGAAAAGCTGTAAAATAGGTAGGTATCTGCAAACCTATCTACACTTCTTTAAAGTTGATATATAGCTTTTGCACAGTCAAAGGTTTCAATCCTTCATGGGCAACAGATATGAAAGAGAGAAAATTTGGAAGACACGATAACAATCTCTTTTGAAATTTGTCTTGTTAGTGATCATCCTGGGGAAAATTGACTTTTCTCTGTAGAGGCAACATTCTCGGTAGAAAGATGTTCGACTGGATGGTTAGGAGTATCACATTATGACAGATAACCAGCATTTATGCATTGCAGGCAAAATCTTACTTCGTGTCACAAAAAATCTCACAGCAAGATGAGTGAGTTTCTCCCATTTTTAAGGTATTGAACGAAGGGAAATATCTGATAATTTTTGTATCCTCGTATAGATGGTCAAGTTCCATAGCTCTTCAAATAAGATGAATCTAATTGAATGACAATAAGAATTCGATGCTAAAACTTGAAGCCAGGGATGCAAAAAAAAAATTCTACTGATGCAACATCTGCATGTCAGCTTAAAAATCTCCTCAATCTGGATTAATTCCTCGCTCTTCACAAAGAACAAAATATTGTGTTCAGCCAGAAAAATTCTAAAATAAGCATGCTGTTCTATTTTCCTGTCATTCGGTAAAAGTAGAGTACTTAGAATGATGTTTTGATCGAAAAAATTCCTTACACACAGATAGACTTCCTCATGACCAATGTGAGCTAAGATGCTTTTCTTTTTGCCTTTCTGCACCGCTGCCTAACCCTTTGAAGTAACAAAAAAATTTCCCCATCTACCCCTCCAGGTCGTAATTAAATCTGGCTGATTTTAAGGTATTTCAGGAATCAGGTCCGACAAAATAAATTCCTTGTTCAGGTCATAAGTCGGGCCTCCCCCGACATAAACTTTCCAAACTGTAAAGTCGTCTGGCAGGCCTCAATCGACTTGCCCAGTTAACCTGGCAAGTCGATTGAGGGCCTCCCCGACATACGACCTGAATGTGGAAATTATTTTGTCGAGCCTGGCCCAACAGACGACCGCAAAGGGTTAAGGCAATTTAGCCAATTACTTTTATATATTCTTTTAATTAGAAGAGCTCAGAGAAAATTGGAGTATGCATAGGTTGAAAACTAACTCTGCTCTTCTCAGTGCAAGATGGGGAAAGACACGAAAAAAAGACCTCTCTTACCTGTAAAGTGGTTTGGTGAGTGGATGTTTGCGGGGAGTGAATTCGGGCAGTGAAAACAGCAATTGTAGCTCCTGTGGAATCTCGAGTTGGCTGTAAATTAACCAATTTATTTGTCAATTTACTATTTTTTTTAGCAGGAAAAGAAAATAATGTCTACTTCCTTCATAAAAGACTCACTATAAGATGTTAGAACTTGAAGGGAAATGGCACATTTCAGCATTAGCAAATTTTGCAATTATGATTTAGCCTGCCATTGCTGAATTCAGTAAATTCATTTATGTTCAATATTTGTAAGTTATCTCTTACATACACAGGGAAAAAATTACGAAAGTGAACTTCCTGGATGTTAAAAATTTGCGCGACACCTTTGGAATGTTGTTATGGACACTATGGCTGTTAACGAAACATCCTAACTGTGTTGAATTAACAACCGCAGCATTTATATCAGCATTCAAGAGCTGCCTTGCAGATTTTTGACAACCGGGATGTCACTTCAGCAACTTTTTTTGTTCCGTGTACATATTAAATGTAGAACTGGGGAAAGAAAAGAATAGTAAAATGTCACATCCAAAAATTGCATCATTCAACAGGTATTTACATGCTAACCAATGGGCGAACTGATGATTGATGCATTCAGACTGATGTAACTTTAGTCTATCCTTTTCTTTCCCCAGTTCTGTCAACCACTGATAAGACCATTTAAACAGAATTTAAAGTGCAAGTCAATGAGAATTATTGAAAGAAACTTTTATGTTACAACAAAATAGGGAGTGAAATAGCACACGTTATAACTCTAAAGAAAGAAGAAGAAATCACAAACCAATATCGTGAATTTTCCGGTTTCAAGTTCACTTTTGAGAGGATCTGAAAGAGGATCCAAATTCACAAGACCTTCGCGCTGCCGTGTAGCTTCATGCTGCTCATAGAGTGACACAGCTCGAGTTACATCAAATTTTCTAGCCGTAAGAAATTTTTGAGCAGTGTGCCTTGAAACTGGACTGGCATTTGACCTCTTGCGAATTTTGTTGACAATTTCTAGGAAACTACTGACAGCCTGCAAAAAAGAAATGAGTGTCAGTAATACAGACAGACAATAAATCATCACGAATCATTTGATTCTGTTCATTAATACCAGCATAAAGCCATATCACAATAAAATATGTGCATAAAACCTTTACTCTACATACTCCTTTATAATTGTGGTAAGTGGTTCATGCTAGGAGGCTAAAAATTGAGTCTTACACATGAAGTCTGAGAGCAAACCAAGAGGAAAGGCATATTACTTAGTAACCATTACTTAATAGTAACATTGACTGATGAAAAAGCATACTTCATTCAAATGAATGAACTAAAGTAAATACTTTAGTTGTATTTGTGAAGGTTTCGAAATCAATTGCCTATAAAAATAGTTCTCCGAATGACATTTGCAGTTCGGTATTTTGATGGAAATAGACTTGCTGTAATGCTTGCAGCTGTCAAACTTAGAGGGCAAGAAGTTGATCATTATTATTCGATGGGAAAACACATTTTATGGAAAATACCTCAGAGGAACCTTTGGTAAGTAGTTGAGTAGTCAATCTCTTACTAATAAGGTGATCTACATGTAAACAAAAGGCATAACGTCAGATAACAACAACCTATCTTTCATACACTGCCACAATTGAAGAATGCTACTGACAATACTCAGAAAATAATAAGAACCAGAAAAGCTGAGGACTTTAAATTAGTTTATTTGGTCAGAATAAAATTAAAAAGTTAGCAAGTGAGCGTATCCATGTTCGGATGACCTGTTGCTACATCACGAAAAGTAGCATGAATAGAGAGACTCTTGGAAAGATGGCATATTGTCATGCAGATGTAAATTGTTTTCTTCAATTTGTGAAAACTTGAGAAACATATAAATACAATTGAATTAATTATACTTACAAGCTCCTGCTCGGCTGTCAGTAGCGCCGCCATCTTTGATAATGATAACCTCAAATCTGTTGGAACCGTTGTTCGAGATGTGTTGGCCAACAAATCAGTCGGAGCTGCCAGATTGATAGGTAAATGAAGTATTTTTTATTTTCATTCATGTTTTATGATATAAATTTGGAGGATTTGTTACAGAGTGCTCAAAAATTAATAAAATTAAATAGCCAAAGATGTGCCTACTCATAATTGGCAACGCTGCAACCACCCAACAGCTGTTCATTCACAAGGCGGTCAAAAAGGCTCGCTCAACCTCGCTAATGGTCAAATGGGTCATATCGCCCCCACAGTTTGCAAACAGCAAAAGCTACAACTAAGAGCGTGTTTTAAAAGTCAAACAAAGTAAGACTGTTTTCCCCTGTTAAATTTTTCCCAGACTTGCTGTTCGAAGAAGCTACAGCTGCCCCCCCCCCCTCCCCCTTAAATAAAGTGCTAAGAAATAAATCGCAATTCCCGCATTTTAACAACGGAAATTCACTGAATTTTATATGAATTGTTACTCGGCACCCATACTTTGCATGAATGAAACCAGCGTGACTACAGTGTTTTCAAAATCGCGCAATTTCTGGTTTTCTTTTAAAAATACGAAATAAAAGTAGGTACTTACAGTATGAAAATTTACACAAGTACTTCCCTTTAAAATTAGCAATTTTTTTGGTGGAATGCCAAAACTATTTGCTATTTTGGGGGGATTTTTTAGAAAAGAATTCAGGAGGAACACTTTAACAACACTATATAATTGCGCTGGTTCCTTTTTGCTAAATGCGATCCAATTGCATTAGGAACATCAGTAACGCAAAATCACGATTAAATCATTGGTTTCNGGGGGGGGGGGGGGATTACAATGGCGAATAACTCAGTTTTTGCGGGTCCTCCGAAACCCCACTTACAACTAGCAATGATATTTCGATTCCTCTAATGTCACTATAATGGGCTTCGAAGAAAATTAGTGGAATGATGTTTTCCAGATCAACTTCAACAAGCTATCTGAATGGCCTGATCGAGTGACCACCTGAGTACTTATTGTTAGTGAGAGAGTGAGTGTGATAATCTAGCGCCTTCAAATTTGGATGATACAATTTATCTTTCACCGCTGATATGACTACGAAGACGGTCGAAAAGGCTGTATTCGGGCTCTTATTTAATAAGAATCTGCAAGGAAAATGTACTTACAGTTGTACACCTGCGGTAAATTTTATTCGATGTTTTGTTGAAGAGATTTACAACTCAATCATAGTTTTTGTTTTTTTACAGTAAAAAAATTTGAACTAAGGAACTAAAACAATATAATGAAAATTTGACAGCATGTTGTGATGACGTAGTCAAGGTTAGCCAGCATGCCAGTAAATGCACTAGTTTTATCACTACCCACTGCCATAAAGAACATTCAAATTATGTATATTTGCATTAACTACTGTCTAAAACTTAGGCAAACAAAAAGCAGTGAAAAAAAATTGTATTATTCGTCCCCTTAATGTTACTCATAAGTCATAAAGTTAATTCTTTTGCACTTGGTGAGTTAAAGCTATAGACTCGTGCAATTTTTATTTCGTGTGTTGGTTGATGTGTCAAAGAATTTTTTTACCTCAGTTTTCTGGTGTGAGTGCGGCGGAAAGGTGTGGCTTATGCTGTGGTTGTTTATTTTTAGAATATTATTTGTTATTATGCCGAAATTTTATTAAAATATGTGCCTTTTTAATTGTATTTGCGGCTTGATATCGCATATTACCATCCCGGTTAGTGTGTAAGCTCAATCGGAGTTCCAGATCCGAGTGTTCTCTGTGGACATCATCTTTACCTTATTTGGTCTGCTCTAGATAACCTATTGTGGTGAGTACCTCAGATGTGTCATTTTTTCACTCTTCAGTATCAAATCTTTACGTATATTAATGCTCTGAAACTGAAAGGACCTCAAGATGAACATTAACGTCATGCTGTTCTCTCCTTTTCTGACACTCAAACACGCGAAAGTGTTTTTTAACCTCTGAAACAACTAAGGTATCCAGTATTACGACACAGTTACACATGTCCTAAACGGTAACTCGCCTGTAGGATGGGGATCAGATGCTTATGCAAGAAGAATTTGGTGAATATTCTCTGTGTATTAATATTTGGTCGACTTGATGCCTGTAGCTTCAGGTAGTCTCACAATCGTAGGGATCTGCGTTCATCCATCCAAGTGGCATGACAATTGGAATCCTTTGACACACTTGCTTAGAGTTTCTAATCTTGATTTCTGCTGTACATATACTTAGATGTCCTTGAGATGAAGATGTGAACTGCACATACTGCATACTTATCTTGCGATGAGTCTGAAACAACCTCCCTAAATGATACCTGAAGGAATAGCATTCACGCCTTGTTATTATAGCTCCTATTCATTTATAAAGTTGGACAAATTTGAGCCAAAACATTTGCGCATGGCTAAAATTATCATTGCATTTCAATGTAGATTGAAAACGCAATCAATACTGAATTGCAGTGTATGGATTCAGGTTAGGACATAGTTGGATCCAGACACTATCTTAATGATGTAGGTACTCACTTTGAATCATTTTTGTGAATTCAATGGCTTTGTAGAGCTTGCGCATTGTTTGTTGAGACAAACGTCAAAGTATTGTTTATGTCACGATTCACCAGTGGTGCCACCTGACTACATGTATTAACCTGTTAAGTGGTGTGAAATCGGAGCTAATTGGAGATTGGCGTTTGTCTCAACATACAATGCGCGAGCTCTACCCATAGTGTATCACAAAGAATGTGCTCACATGCAATGAAGTCCTAAACTGATTCAGTTTGCTGCGCATCAAATGTATTTTCAATCTACATTGAAGTACAGCATAAATGTAGCTGATAATTACTTAGCTATGTTACCGAGGAACTCAGGGAAATAATTTCTTGTCAAGTGAAAAGTCAAGATACTGGTCAGTCGTTGTGAATAATGGGCAAGCAACAAGCAATATTTCACTTAATGCCAATTCTTTATACCTCTTGCAACATTCTAGAAGTTTTTCTTATACACCTACACATGGTTGATCTTTTATTAAGATCTTACATTGATTTGGCAAGTGTCAAAACATAAGAGCATTGTGAAAAACTAGCGTAGTAATAGTAACGATTCTCTTGATTTAGCAGGACCAATTTACCACCATTGAATCCATTGTAAATAAGTACTCGATTCTATCTAACGCAGACAGTTTGCCTCCCTCTATACTGATTGTGGTATAATAATCAATACAGAGTTTTTGTCCAAAATGTGACAGTGGTAAAACATAACTCAGAATTGGTAACCAAGGCCAAATACGTAATCCAGATGTTTAAAGGGCTAGGCCGTTTTGAGTCCTTAACACCCCTATTTTCAACAGCATTAGCTGGAAGTAACCAGGTTATTTTGCTCACCCCACCCTGTCATACGTAGGTTTTAGCTTCTGTTCCTTTTTTAAGTTCATTTCCATTTTAACATGTTGATAGTGGGGTTGTCATGGATCTGAAACGTCTTAAACTTTTGACACCCGAATTTTTTAGCCTCCATTACCTTTGTTTTTTATAGATTTTTTTACATCATGTACTTAAATGGATGAAGCCCAATGTTGTGAGTCCCTACTATTTTCCCTACTGCTGAATGGAATTACAAATGTATTATTAGTTACTACATAGTGCAAAGAAAAATAATTGATGAAGGGTTAACCTCCCTGCCCTGAATTACTCTAAGCTTTGCATGTTCCATGATTTTTTCCTTAGAGAGAATCACTTTTTCACAGTACTGTACCTCAAAATATCTAGTTAATTTTGCCTTCGAACTAGGTTCACAAAGCATTCAGACAGAAGTAGGGTTCTTCTGCTGTTTCTTCTCTAAGGTATTTCTGCATTTAATGCATATCAAACTAAAAGTCTCATGACAGGATAAGAGGCTCATCGCATTCAAGCCACCTTTCCTCTTTCAAAACACGCATTTTCTGGAGAAACTGTGGGCGCAATTTTTCTTAAAATATTTTGCACTGAAAGAAAATATTCTTGAGATATCATTTTGACTGGTAGCGTCGTTTCTTGTCGACAAAAGTTGGTTTTTTGAGAAGGAACGTCGTTTTGTCACCGTTTCCTCAACTTAAACTTAACGATAGCGAAGCGACGCCTTTTTAAGTAAAAAAAATAAAACTGAATTCTGTCGAAAAGAAACTACGTTTAAGTCAAAATATTATACCTCTAGAATGTTTTTTTTCAGTGCGACCAAATTTTTTCTACATTACCTGATATTTTCAAGAAAAAATATTTCTCGAAAGTATTTCTCTACTTTATTTGGTAACTTCCCAAATTCATTCAGCGTTTTTCCATAGCGCGGCACGATAAGTAGTATCTTTAGGATGTAAGAAGGATATACTTAAAGGCGATAAAAGACGATGTTCCCCAACCACTTTTTTATCCGTGTTCATAACCAGAACTTAAAATAATTAGCCACCGCAATGACGTTTTCGTAAAACGCAAATGTTGCCTCCTCCCAAATATAACACCATGAATTTTTTTTCGTAAGAGCATCATTTTAATGTCAACGTCAGAGTCATCGACGCGACGCGACGTCCGCGTATTTTCCTGGTCATCTCGGAAGTGTTGACGGTGCATTCTTCGCTGGCTAGTTGCAAGAATGCAATCAGAGGCCATAATCCAATAAAGCGTAGATCGGTGCATCTGTGGCAGCAGCCACCATCAGCGTAACGAGCTCCGCAACTCAGTTGCCGTTCTGGTAGTGTTTCGGTAAAATTCCAGAAGAGCAAACCCCAAACGTTCGAATGAAGATCTGCGCTTTTAGGGTGGTGAAAACATGGAGTCACGTGTGCAAATAATTGCCCTTGAAACGGGTGAAAAGAAAACCATGAAAACTTCATTTACGTCAGAAATCTGGTTGCGGTGTTAAGTATTTTTTTCTTTCGTAATACTGAGTACTCTGAAAGACAAACGAGCACAACATTTCTGTGTACATGTTGGTGAAGGATGTTTAAAAGCGCAAATACTGATCTAAAGAAAAACTTGAGAGGAAACATACACGATTTTTGTCAACGCTTAACCTAGGATCTCATGCG